CCCCACAGTGAACGCGAGTCATGGCTGGCTTTGTGATGCTAATGGAACTGACCAAAAAACATTGGCCATATCAACAACAGAAAAAAAACAAAAAAAACAAGGTGTGTTGTGGGAATGCCATCAAAGATGGTGGATGGGTCAGCAACCAATGGAGGTAGCTTGTCAATATGCTGATTCTCTACCCTGTAATCCTCTGTGAAAACCCTTTGTCTACACTTGGTTATCTGTCTCCAGTCAGTGGTTTTGCGGCAGTTGTGGCTAGTCCGCTCCCTGAAAACTTTTCACCCTACATCAATATCCTGGCCACTGTCACTCAAACCATCCAACACCTTTTTAGCAAGCTTCCTACTATCTGTAACGCTGGGTTTGCAGAACAGACACACGCGGATAAAAGTAAATCCGGAATATTTATTCAGACGGGAGTAAACAGGGTTAACACCAGACCAGGTCAATAACCAGAGGAGGCAGACAAAATACAGGGGCATAGGCGAAAGCGCGGTCGAAAAAAACAGGTGAGGGTCTTAACCAGAAAAAGCACATAAACCAAAACAACAAAGCCAAGACAGAAGCGAGAATCGAAAACGGAAAAAACCATCGTGGGCAAACACGGAGTACCAATCAGAAAAACAAACAGCTTGGTATGCACAGACTAAGTAAGGGCAATACTTCACAAAGACAAGTTTCAAACAGACCGGTATATATACAGAGTAAACACAGGTGATGATGATTAGTATTCAGGTGACTGTGATCTGTTGGGTGGTTTGTGATTGGCTGGAAAAGTCTCGTGACTGACTGAAGGATTCTGGGAAGTGGAGTCCTTGGTGGTCTGAGAGTCCGAAAGAGAACCAGGAAGCGTGACACTATCAGTTACGTTGAGGACTTGGCTCGCTATGGCTGCAGCATCATTAGGATGCAATGAGTAAAGGTTTCTTTTTTCTCAATAAGATCAATGAAGTCAAGTTCCATTTCCATCAGGTGCTTGAATTCTTTAGACAGTTTGCCCAATGTGGCTGCATCTAAAGGAATGTAGCCAATCTGTACTCTGGTTTCTTTAAACTCATCTCCTTTAATAAGGACTTCAGAAGATCTAATAGAGGTTAGTCTTATCTGAACTATCACTACTAGGTTCAGAATCCTCAACAGAGTAGAGGAATTCTGATACATCATATTGGACTGCATCCAAGTCTGGATACAGCCTAGCCAATAGTGGAGGATCTTCATCCTCTGTGTAGCATAGCTGACCTGGAGGAGGGGCTACAGGTGGAGGTTGGCACTGACAATTTGACTTAGATTTACAATTAGCATGTTGCTAATTCAAAACCTCAATTATTGATTGCTGTAGTTTGTGTACATGTTCTCTGGGCATTCATTGCAGCTATTTTTTGCTTTTTACATTCGCTAGTTAGCTCTAGGATCTTTCTCTCAGCTTTTACTAGCTTACAATCCATGTATCTAAGCTTATACTTCCAGTACCGCTTTATTACATAAAGACATTCCTTCACTGAGTCATGCTTGATAGCATAACCCAATGCTGTTTTACATTCCACAAGAGTCCATTCTGTATTAGCAGAAAATCTTTCAGATGAAAAGTACTGAGATCTCTTTTGCCATTCCAAAATCTGACTCAGTCCACTGAAGCATTTCAGTCCCACACTCAACTTATGTGCTAATTCTATAGTTCAGAATGCCTCTCTGGCCCACCCTCGTTTGACTCTATCTTGGATTCTTGGCTATCAGTATTCGACTTAATAAAAATGCAGCCAAATACAGACCCCTGTTTTTCTGATGGCAAAATTCAACACGGCCCAAGTTACACTCAATATCTGGGTAGAGGCACTTGTTACAGTGATTTTACTCCACACTACAAATGTCTAATAACACACCTTAACTGTGGATAAATCACTTATTGCTACTTTATTACTTGTATTTGTACTGTTGTCTTCTTAACAACTACACCTTTAACATTATTCTAGATTTTAATAAATATTAATAAGCAGGTATGTGGATTAAAAGAATTTGGACAGTATGCAATTTTCTCAACATAGAATAACTGCAAAATTATTTTACCCATAGTACTTTTGGTTCTCATTTGAAAAGTCGTGCTGGTAGATTAAGAGACCCTTATTAGTCCCACAACGGAGAAATTTCACCTCTGCATTTAACCCATCTGTGCAGTGAAACACCACATACACTCTAGTGAAAATACACACACACACAGGCAGTGAGCACACTTGCCCAGAGCGGTGGGCAGCCCTATCCACAGCTCCCAGGGAGCAGTTGGGGTAGGTGCCATCTGGTCACAGGGCTGGTTCCCTAACCTCCAGCCCATGACTGCCCAGAGAGTGGCCTGTTGTCAAATTAAATAATAATCTTTTGCAATCTTTGATAATCCTTGTTTGAAGTACATTCCATTCATGACATTTTAGCTCATGAACATTTTAGTTGTTAGAAAGTTGTTTCTTTGGCACCGTCCTCAGTCCACCTTTGCTGTTGGCTGGATAATTCAAGTCAGTGTTCATACTAAATCAGTGTTTAGGTGAATCTTACCTCCATATTCATCCTATATATTGTTGCTATTGGTAGCCCATTGTAAAACTACATCATTCTCACTCCTTTCTTTGTCAGTACTGTTCTTTGATATGTGGTACCACTTTGTATCATACACTCCTGCAAGCAGTAAGTAAAATAAAAAACACTGACTGAAATGGCAACTACTATTGTCTGTGTCCTTCCATCTCCAACCACATACCACATGTTACATGTGAAGTAAGTGAATGTTACTTCACTGAAATAATGACCTTATCAAAAGTAAATGGACATTTCCAAAAACACACTGAGTACACTGTAATTCATAAGTAAGAAAGTAAGCTGGTTGCCTTAATAAGTGAACAGAAAAATAAATGAACAGAATGTAAAACATTCAAAATTATTGTTCTGTTAACTTACAATTGTAAGTTCAATTCACTCAAAATTATATGAGACCTGTTTACTTACTTTTTTAAGTTGGAACGCTGAATCATGTTTCACAGTGTAGAAATTCTTAGATCACAAGCGCATCTCTCAGCATAAAAACTGAGCTTTTCGGTCTGAAATAAAATGCTAAAGCTTCACAGTGAGATGTTTATGTAATAGTAAAGCCATATGGGAGCTGAACCAACACAAAAGAATCAAACTAAAAAAGTTCATTTCAGTTATTGATTTCACAGCTTAAGCTATTTACAGGCATTTTTAAAGTGTTACTTAATGGTTGCTATGGTATTCCAGGAGTTTGCAAGGTTCTTATTAGTTATTTTAAGTTGTACTCTGGGTAGTTGCTAGGTTGTTGCTAAGTGGTTGCTATGCTATTGTAGGTGATTGGAAGTGTATTGCTGCACAATGGCAATGATATTGAATGAGGTTGCTAGGGTATTGTCTTGTATTGCTGGTGGTTTTTAGAGTGTTGCTATGTGACTTTGAGGGTATTGCTAGATGGTTACCATGGTGTCAAGACTGCTAGGATGTTGCTAAATGGTTGCTGTTGTATCCCAGGTGGTTGCTATGGGTGTTGGAGCAATATACAAATTTTTCACAACTTTTTTCCTGAGCATTCTTAGTAGAAAAACTGATTTTGAATCATGGTGACACAGAAAACAGTAGGTCTAATCAAAAAAAAACTGTATATGCCTCTCACAATCAGACCGAATATTCTGGAGTTCATTGATGAAATTTCGACCTGAGGAACGAGTTAGCAGACAAAATTTAGTAGAACAACAAGCTGACAAGAACAATAATATAAAAATATTGGTTAACAAAAGAGTTGTATCTAAACACAAATGCAGGAAGCTGAAGCTAAACTTTCTGTGTAGGGGCTTTGGATTTAACATTTTAAGGTTTCCACATCAAGATAAAAACTCTGTGACAAACACTCTTCCTTTCTTTTTGTGTTTCATGTTTTGTTGTTTTCTTGTAATTCATGACATTGTCAGTTTGTAAAAGTTTTAAATTCACGTAAACCTGCTGTTATTGTTGTGTGTGAACTTACTGTCAATAAGTTTTCAAAGAAATCCTTCCAATCCCGAGTTTGATCCACAGCCTAATGTAAAGGACATGCCTTTGAATATTGAAATGACTTATTCTAACAGTGTCTTTGCTCTTTTATATTGACCAAAACCTAAAGGTGACCTGTGCATATTAGCCTTTTTTCAAATAAAAATTAAGAACAGTAAGCTAATATTTTGTTAATGAGGGCCTGTGCTGCAAGTTTTTTGAGCCACTGAATGTCAGCACTGTGAATATTTGCTTCTATATTTATGTATTTATTAGAAACATACAAACATTTCATATTATCTCATTAAAGCAATTTTTTTAGCCTCAGTCAACAAGGGGCTCATGAGATCATAACATTTTTTCATCATTGTGCCACCCTATCTCTTAAATGAGTTTTTAAGTCTGTTTTTTGGAAGATCACATTAAAGATGGAAACGATCTGACAAGACACATTTTTTACACCCAAAAATACTGCGATTTCAAGCTGTTGTGGCATCATGGCATGCCTGGGTTTAGTTTTACTTGAGTTATTCTGTTCTGTAGCTTTAATTTAGTCTTTTCATTTGGGGGACTCTTTATTTTAGGAGAGCCGAGGCTGACAGTGAGAGTGAGCCTACCATGGGGACAGTGATTCTCCCTTTTCTGTGCGCTGTTCTAAGCTGAGTTATGGACCAACATTTTGATGTCTCTGAGTTTCTCCTCTCGTACAATATTAAAAGGTAAACATTTATTAGCATTGAGATAAGCACTGAGTTGTAAATGAACACCAAATCATCATAAATGAGTACTGGACCTCCTACAGTTCAGTCTGTTTGCTTGTATTTGTTTTAGACCCCTAACACAGACTTTAACAAAATGCAAACTTGTTTGGAGCTCAGACTGAGACATGTGGAGTTAAATCCCTCCTACTTGGACTTGGTCCAGCTTGCAGCAATACGTACTTTCATTTTCCGTGGAAAGCCTTGTGTAAGCCACTCCTCCTGAGGGGTACAGAAAAGTCTTTCAGAAGAGGAAGAGGAACAGCAAACACCAACTGCACTCCACGACGAAAACAGCAGCTCTTCTTTTCAGGTAACAGTGGTTGATTTTATGTTTCATAAACTTATTTCATGAATATGTACTAAGTATTCATGTATTATACACAACAGTTTATTTGTAATAATAGGTGTATGTATAATCGTTTGCCTGTAAGGCTGATTTTATTATTAAGGCTTATTTTTTGTCTTTTGTTTTCACTGTTTATTTACAGTAACCACCTAAAATGCACTTTTCTGAATGTTTACAGTGTTTTTACCTTTTCAAATACAGAAAGTCTATATGACTACACTGATTTCTAGTGTAACATGAAGTTTATTTAGTGTGTTAAGCTAATTTTCAATATTTAATATTAAGTTTAATAGCAGCAACTCCTCAGTATCTGAACGCAATTTTGAATGCAATATCAAAAGAACAGCAAGTGCATATTTTCATTCCATGGAATACACAGTTTCTTAATAAAAATACAACTTTAATTTCAAAATAAATATTATTTGATTTTAAAGTAAAATAAGAAGTAAACTACGGACATTCAGCAGCTTTTAACTGCCCTCAAGCGCTGCCGGTCTAATTGTGATCTTTAACAGTTCTGTTCTAGTTCTCTTGTACTGACAGTGTGATGAATGTTTGGTCTTTCACAGGTGAATAATTCAGTTCACTTTAAAGATGTCAGCCACTGCAGTTCCACTCTCTAACAAGAGGAATGGCTACACCATTGTGACCCACGTGATCCCCCCACCAACATCAACTGAACCTGGGCAAATGATCTACACTGTAGGCCCACTTCGGAAGTTTCTGAAAGGAAAACCAAAATTATTAGGAGTAAGTGACCCAAATTGCTGGTCAGGCTTTGTGTGAAGTAGCACACATCATTGAAAATCTCTTGCCTTCTTGAAATAAGTTTCTTGAAGTGTTTAAGCATTGTTAATGTTTTTGTTTTAAAACCTACAGTTCACTCTCCAGTTCATATGTGAAAATTTAGTTGTAAGAAAAACAGCTTGCTTTGAATTCATTGGTTTTGTGATGTCACAAAATATATCTACAGACAGTGCCATGAAAAAGTGTTTGGCCCCTCTTGATTTCCTCTATGATTGTATATTTGTCATATTAAGCTGTTTCAGATCCTCATACAAAATGTAATCTATGACAAGTGAGCATGAGGAAACACAAAAAAGAAAAACAGCCAACACATTCCCAGGAATAAGAATTACAGTCTCTGCCAAAGTGAAGAAGGGAGAAAGCCTGAGCTCGTTCAGTTTATTTTTACTCCAGCATAACTATGTCAGTGGATGGTTTAGGTTACATGGAATGAATAAACATTTCCTGGTTACACTGTGAAATTTCCTGTGGAGTCACAGTGGGTTTGGTTTCAGGGCATTTACTTTTGTCTTTGTGTATGTCACTTCTTGGTAAATGTCATCTTCAGGAAACATGAGATCAGCTGTGATAGCTATGCTGATTACACACAGATTGTTGGTTAAGTGACTATTAACACTGAGTTTATTGCATATGTGAGCCATGTTTATGAAACTTACTTAATATATAAAAAAAAAAATATATATATATATATTATATATATATATATATATATATATATATATATTATATATATATATATATATATATTTGCTGTTGTGAATATAAACATGTGCTTTGGAAATCGCATTACTTTTCTTATTCAAACATTTTGTTGAAACATTATTTAGCCAGTTTGACATGGAGTGACATACAGAAACATTCCAAAATTTTATTTTAGTTAAACATCCTACATGCACTGAAATTTATTAAAATTGACTCATTTGAGCTCTACCGAAAATGCTTCAGCTGCAATAGACGTCTACAACTTTCAGTATTTAAATTCAACCAGTATTGAGATCAGTCAAATATCTGTCTCTTTTTCCCACAGAGTGTTCAAATAACCATCGGTTTGGTGAAACTCTTGCTTGGTATTGCAATGATTTTCGACTCTCCCAGGTTCATTGTCTTCGGTGGAATTGTATTTGGGTGTGCTTTGATGGTAAGTTTTATCTGCTGGTATTCCATTGGATAGAGATACTTCTATAAAAATACACACCAATACCAATTTAAATGAAAACTCTGCCATTTTTCCTCTCATTCAGTACATCATCAGTGGCTCTCTGGCTGTTTCAGCAAGTAAAAACCTTCATCGCTGTGTGGTATGTAAACACCCGTTTTAGTGTTTTTTTTACATTCATTGCAGAAAGGTGCTTTGAGACTAATTTCAATAAAATTTACATTAAAAATATTGAAATTGTACTATGTTGTACAGTGGGGCAAAAAAGTGTTTAGTCAGCCACTGATTGTGCAAGTTCTCCTACTTAGAAAGATGAGAGAGGTCTGTAATTTTCATCATAGGTACACTTCAACTATGAGAGACAAAATGAGAAAAACAAATCCAGGAAATCACTTTGTAGGATTTTTAAACAATTTATTTGTAAATTATGATGGAAAATAACTATTTGGTCAATAACAAAAGTTCAACTCAATACTTTGTAACATAACCTTTGTTGGCAATGCCAGAGGTTAAACGTTTCCTGTAAGTCTTCACCAGGTTTGCACACACTGTAGCTGGTATTTTGGCCCATTCCTCCATGCAGATCTCCTCTAGAGCAGTGATGTTTTGGGGCTGTCGCTGGGCAACACAGACTTTCAACTCCCTCCACAAATTTTCTATGGGTTTGAGGTCTGGAGACTGGCTAGACAACTCCAGGACCTTGAAATGCTTTTTACGGAGCCACTCCTTCGTTGCCCAAGCGGTGTGTTTGGGATCATTGTCATGCTGGAAGCCTCAGCCACGTTCCATCTTCAATGCTCTCACTGATGGAAAGAGGTTTTGTCTAAAAATCTCACGATACATGGCCCCGTTCATTCTTCCCTTAACACGGATCAGTCGTCCTGTCCCCTTTGCAGAAAAACAGCCCCAAAGCATGATGTTTCCACCCCCATGCTTCACAGTAGGTATGGTGTTCTTGGGATGCAACTCAGCATTCTTCTTCCTCCAAACACGACGAGTTGAGTTTTTACCAAAAAGTTCTATTTTGGTTTCATCTGACCACATGATATTCTCCCAATCCTCTTCTGGATCATCCATATGCTCTCTTGCAAACTTCAGATGGGCCTGGACATGTACTGGCTTAAGCGGGAGACACGCCTGGCACTGCAGGATTTGAGTCCCTCTCGGCGTAGTGTGTTACTGATGGTAGCCTTTGTTACTTTGGTCCCAGCTCTCTGCAGGTCATTCATCAGGTCCCTCCGTGTAGTTCTGGGATTTTTGCTCACTTTTCTCATGATCATTTTGACCCCATGGGATAAGATCTTGCGTGGGGCCCCAGATCGAGGGAGATTATCAATGGTCTTGTATGTCTTCCATTTTCTTACAATTGCTCCCACAGTTGATTTATTCACACCAACCTGCTTGCCTATTGTAGATTCACTCTTCCCAGCCTGGTGCAGGTCTACAATTTTCTTCCTGGTGTCCTTCGACAGCTCTTTGGTCTTGGCCATGGTTGAGTTTGGAGTCTGACTGTTTGAGGCTGTGGACAGGTGTCTTTTATACAGATAACGAGGTCAAACAGGTGCCATTAATACAGGGAACAAATGGAGGACAGAAGAGCTTCTTAAAGAAGTTACAGGTCTGTGAGAGCCAGAAATCTTGCTTGTTGACCTATGGTGAAAATTACAGACCTCTCTCATCTTTCTAAGTAGGAGAACTTGCACAATCAGTGGCTGACTAAATACTTTTTTTGCCCCACTGTAAATGCATGATTAATAATAACTGAACTATATCATTTATTCCTAAGAAATTATTTGGTCCCACTCTCTGTGTATCAACTTCAGTGTTTTCTCATGTAGTAACACAAGCATATCCCAGTAGCTGTAACAGCATGTTTCTGCTTATGCAATTACACATGTGTAACAGTGTTATGGTAGTTATGTTTGTATAAGCTGAGGTATAGAAGCTGTTGTTGTGTAAAACATTACAGACTTTGATTAGGTTTCCATGCTTTACATGGCAACAGCATATGTCCATTTCTCTGTTGATGTAAAATATAGAAATGTATGTAGGTACTGTGAATTTACAGATTGAAATTAATACTGTCTTTGTGTGGGTCTGTATGTAGATGTAGTAAAATTAAAGATTAATAATTCAGAAATTGCTTTAGATATTTATGTTTACAGATATGTGCTGTTGCTGTGTAAATACAGTCATAATACTTTAAAGTGATTTTTAAGTGCTTTAAAGACAGAGGGTTAGTTTAGGTACCATGATACATCACAAACATACTACCACAGCCAGGCAAATGTTAGGAAAGCTGGTATGTTCTGTGCAGATACAGTGTAAGAACTCATAATGTGGTTAATTATTACAAACTGTTACAATCAAATAAGACTTGTTGGAAACTCTATGATATACTGATCACTACATAAGGGATAATAAGCTGTTATGATTATCATGATGCACGTGTGCAACTGAATGTGTAAAAACTGAAGTTGTTATACTTGTGTATTTACGTAAGATGTACTACTGTAATCTATCTGTAACAGTGAATACATTATCTGTAGTTACATTGTTGTTACATAATATACATTAAGCATTTAGTAATGAATGAAAACTGATTGAATACATTATTGGCTGCCTTTACCTAATGCACTGATAACTTACATTACTTAATAGCAGGGGTGAGGAGTCATGCCAATACTTTTTAATAAGTGCAAAATGTTTTGACGTTCTGGTGGAACAAGGGTCTAAATATGATCAATGCTTGACAAAAGAATTTCACAAAAATCTGTTTTGTTTATATCTTAAGAATTTAATTGTGCAGAAATTCCCCCTGTCAGTAACAGAAAGTTTGATTTTGAGCTAAATCGATTATCAGTATCATTACACTGTACATATTTTTAGCTTGCACAACAACAACAAAAAAAAACTTGTTACAGAATTTCCCAGAATTTTTTCTTGTTCACTCAACTTTTGTAAATTATTAGTTATCCTGACTGACATATTTTTGTCAACGCTAAAATAAATATTTAGTTGAGCTAACATGAGAACATATGTGGTGCTAAGAAGTACCACTAGTCTTGAGAAAAGCTCTTTGAGCTGAGCAATCAATAATCTGCAAATAATCTGTAATGTCATACATTAAGCCACTGTATACTGTATCATGTCTTGTAAATGTCACAATTCTTAAAGCTCACCTGTGATCACCAGTATGTGGACATGAACAGATCACACCACAAAGCATTTTGAAGAAATTGCTTTAATTGTCTAATTCAGACAAAATCCACTATGAAATTAGTGGAACAACAATTACATAAGTAAAGAAACAGTTACAATGGTGTTTACCAAAAATTACAAACTAAACTGGTGAGTGCAGTTCACCATTAAACTTAATTATATATTTACACTCACTGGCCACTGAATTATGTACAGCAATCTTGTATCTGTGGTCATTTTCCATTTAATCAGGTCCATCTAATGTATAGGTGCACATTGTCATTCTGTAATTTCAGATTGTAGTTGATCTGTTTCTCTGCATAGTCAACTCTTTCACCTCATTCATCATTTATCAGGACCCCGACCAGGACCACCACAGAGCAGGTATTATCATTTCGTTCTCAGCACTGCGGTCACACTGGCACGGGAGAATACCAACAGCTTCCTGTGACCACTGATGAGGGATGAGAGGATGACCAACACAAACTGTGCAGCAGCAGATGAGCTGTTGTCTCTGACTTTACATCTTCAAGGTGGACCAACAACGTAGGAGTGTCTAATACAATGGACAGTCAGTGGCCACAGTGTTTAAAACCTCCAGCATCACTGCTGTGTCCAATACACCAACCAAATAATACCTGCTCTGTGGTGGTCCTGTGGGGGATCTGACCACTAAAGAACAGGGTGAAACGGGGCTAAAAGGTATGCAGAGAAACAGCTACACTGCAATCTGTAAGTTAGTAGTACCTTAAAAGTGTCCAGTGAGTGTATATATGTGCGGGAGAGAAAGACAACAAGAGAATGAACATGTTAAGTTTAAGTCACTGTGCTAAATACACTCGACCCTTAACAGATGGAGGTCTCTGGTCAATGTCATTGTCACTGTCAGCTTGTTTGGCTGCATCAAAAATGGAAAAAAAAAGTAAGTACTATTAGTAATAAACACTCACCAGATATATAATATGGATTATAGAAATACATAAATAAAATAAAAAATGACCAATAATAGTTTCAACAATTACGATATCAGATTAACACTAACTTAAAAACTGAGGAGAAAATTTTAATAATCAAGGAGTAAAAAACATAATAAGAGTTCTTAAACTGTTCGTACCTGAGAAATGCTAATTGTAGACCTAGGAGATATGAAGGTCATCACAAGATAAGTACACATTTGGATAAACCTTAAAGCAGTAAATGAGGAGAAGAGAGAACAAAGATTTCACAAATATTAGTCTGATACAGGATTTTAAGTCACTTAGCATCTAGTTGCCAAATCACAGCTCAGTTGAAATAATAACTTACTTTTTTAACTGTAAATACAGCTTCAGTCACTCGTTCAGATTTCTGGTTTTATCTTCTAAACTCAAACCTGGTCTGTGGTGTGTGAAGCCATTAGCCTGCTAGCCAGCAAGCTAACAACCCCACACATCAGAGAACCTGGTTAGTTTCTCCTTTTCTGCCACTCCAACACCAGACACTCGACGTGTCTTGCTCAGATTTGAGCCTGTATTCATTGTCAGTTAGCATAAGTAACCCGGAACAGAGCTATTAACGTAGCTTGCTAATGTTAGCTAAGCATGCGCAAACAGATTACTTAGCTAGTTAGCTAACAACTCTAACAAGTGTACAAACCAGTTTATTAGAGATGGAATACAAATCGACACTGTTCCAAAATCAAAATAAGATAAAAAAAACTCTTCTCTTATTATTTTGTGAGAGTGATGATTCATCTAAAAGAGGTAACTTGTTAATCTTCCACAGCAGATAAAGACGAGCTAACTGACTGTTAGCAAGTGATGGTCATTTTCATTTTAACATATGAAGAGTTCAACATTAACAAATCATAGGATTATGTTTGAGTAAATGTTTGATGAAAAAACTGTCGGAATGTCAAACAAACAAAGAATTTGCTTATGAGACGCATTTTTGAAAATCTGCCTCACTATGGGTGGAATCTGCCCTTATATTTTTTCCTGAAACATCAGCTGGTGAGCCTGGCTCAACAGTTAGCAATAATGGTCTATGTTCCTAATAGTTTAGCTTGCTAGCCTCCAGACTGAAATACAGTGGAGAGCATTTGCTCCCTCTCTGATCATGTAACCATACATTTGATTTAGACGTGTCAATTGCCTTTTGTGTTTCAGTATGACTGTAATTTTGGAAATCAAAGTAATTGAATGAATTTTTTTATTGGTGCTCATCTTTTGCTTTTGTTTTCTGTTTCTCATCTAGGTGACTGGTGCTCTGGTGATGAATGTGATAAGCATAATAACTGCAGCAATAACCATCACTGTGTTATTGCTGCTTTTGGTAATAGTGCAATGGTGTAGGCCCAGCGACTATAGCTGTTCTGTGGTAAGATTTTTTCTTTTTGTCATCACTTGACATAATTGTATATCAGTTGTATATCTCATGCTTTTATTTGATTCACAGTCAGAGACCACTGTGCATTCATTTAATTTGGCAATTAATAACAAATAATTCATTTTCAGGAGATATTTAAACTTCTAGATTAGATATAAAATAATTCAAGATATACACACACACACACACACACACACACACACACACACACACACACACATATATATATATATATATATATATATATATATATAAATGTAAATAAAAACAGAATATAATGCTTTGCAAATCTCATAGATTTTATTCACAACAGAACATAGAACATATCAGATGTTGAAAGTGACACATTTTAACATTTCATTAAAAACATTAACTCATTTAGAACTTGCTGTCAGCAACGTTGTCCTGGGACAGGGGCAACAAATTCTGGAAAAGTAAGTGGTACCAATAAAAACCACTGGAGGCAACTAACTCACATGACTGGGTATAAAAAGAGCATATTAGAGAGGCAGAGTCTCTTAGAAGCAAAGATGGGCAGAGGTTCACCAATCTATGAAAAACTGCATCTAAAAATTGTGGAACAATTTCAGAAAAATGTTCCTCAACGTAAAATTGTGAAGACTTTGGCTATCCCACCATATACAGTACATAATATCATCAAAAGATTCTGAGAATCTGGAGAAATCACTGTATGCAGGGACAGGCCGCTGGTCAGTATTGGATGCTCGTGATCTTCGGGCCCTCAGGAGGCACCGCATTGAAAACAGGCATGATTCTGTACTGGTAATCACTGCGTGGGCTCAGGAACACTTACAGAAATCATTGTCTGTGAACACAGTTCGCCTGTGCAATCCACAAATGCAAATTAAAGCTGTATCATGCAAAGAAGAAGCCATATGTCAACACCATCCAGAAATGCTGCCATCTTCTCTGGGCCCAAGCTCATTTAACTGAGGCAAAATGAAAAACTGCTCTGTTGTCAGATTTGAATTTGAAATTCTTTTTGGAAACCACGGACGCCGTGTCCTGCAGACTGAAGAGGAGAGGGACCATCCAGCCTGTCATCAGTGCACAGTTCAAAAGCCTGCATCTCTGATGGTATGGGGTTGCATTAGTGCCTAAGGTGTGAGCAAATTACACAGCTGGAAAGGCACTATTAATGCTGAACAGTATATAGAGGTTTTAGAACAACATATGCTCCCATCCAGACAACGTCACTTTCAGGGAAAGCCTTGCATATATATACATTGCTAAACTACATACTGCATTCATCACAAAAGCATGGCTTTGCAGAAGAAGAGTCCGGGTGCTGAACTGGCCTGCCTGCAGTCCAGATCTTTTACCAATAGAAAACATTTGGCGCATCATGAAACAAAAAATCCATCAAAGAAGACCCAGGACTGCTGAGCAGCTACAATCCTACATCAGACAAGAATGGGACAACATTCCTCTCCTAAAACTCCAGCAATTGGTCTCCTCACTTCCCAGACATTTACAGACTGTTGTTAAAAGAAGAGGGGATGCTACACAATAGTAGTCGTGGCCCTGTCCCAACTTTTCTGAGATGCATTGCTGACAGCAAGTTCTAAATGAGTTAATGTTTTTCATGAAATGGTAAATTGGTCCACTTTCAACATCTGATATGTGTTCTATGTTCTATTGTGAATAAAACGTGGGTGTATGAGATTTGCAGATGTAACCAGTCAGCAAGGTTCAGACGTGTGTGGATAAAAGTAAGAGTACAGGCTTTATTAACACTAGGCAAAGTCGTAGTCGAAGTACAGGCAGGGGTCAAAACCAAAAGGCAATAAATGATCACACAGGTGATCATCACCACAGGCAAACAAGTCCAGAGGGCGAGACAAAAGGCAGAGACAAAAGGCAGGCAAAAAGGTCGAAATCACAAATCCCAAAAACAAGCAAAGGTACAAAAGGAGCAGGCAAAAACGAGGTCAGAAACAAACGAGATTGGGGTCAAAAACAGAGTAAGCAAACCAAAGAAAACGCTCAGTAAGTTCAGGAATGAAACAATACCTCGCAAAGGTCCTAAGCTAAAGCCCGGGCTAAAATACTAAACTAGATTAGTCATACGACTGAAACACACAGGTGAAAACACTCAGTATTCGGGTGACTGTGAACGCTGGTAGGTGCGAGGTCGATCAACACTAGTCACATGATCTCCACTTGGCTGCTGGGTAATGTAGTCCACAAGGGATTCCGACTCCATTGGGAAGTCTGTCGTCACATGATCTCCCAGGTTCTCCTGGGAAATGTAGTCTGTTACACTAGACGAGTCTCTAGCAGGCGTGAAAGCAAATCATTGCATTCTGTTTTTATTTACATTTATTTACATTTTATACAGCATCCCAACTTTTTTGAAATTGAGGTTGTGTAAATATATAATATATGTGTCTGTGTGTGTGTGTGTGTGTGTGTGTGCGTGTGTGTGTGTGTGTGTGTGTTAAAAATGGAATTATAAAATCTGAATGATTACTAAATTAATGTTTTCTGATTACTTTCCATTACTTTCAGATTACTTGTCGTTGATTAAGGATGTTTAATTAAATAAAGAAAAGAGGAACATAGTTTCAACAAGACTTCTTAAAAAGATTTTAACTCAACACATGACACACACAAAGAATGCACTCAGATTGTTAGATTATAGGTGGAGCAATTTATGGAAATATTTAAAATATAAAGATGACAAATTTGTCTCACAGTATAATTTGTTACATTGATACATCACGCCTGTTGATGCTCCCTAATCCCTAAGTTTTAGCAGCTCATGGAGATCAACATGTACTACGAGTTTAAAATCAGTTTAACACAAAAACTAAGTAGAAGCTGATCGACTTAGTTGCAAAAAATGATCATTTGCACACATTAACCTTGTGCACCCATCATTCAAAAACTATAGAAGAAAGAAAACAACCATACATGTGAAAATGAAAACTTACTGCTCACTAGACTTCACCATCTGTTCACGTTTCGGACTTTTAGTTTAAATCTGTCTGGTTAAGTTTATGAAGAGTTTAATGTAAAATGAGTCAAGCTGTGGAATTTTATGGAGCTAAAACCAGAATAAAGAGCTGATTTCCAGATCAGATCAGATCAGTCTGCTGCTGTAGAATCTGGGGGTGTGGAAGATCAGGGTAAACGCCTGATTCATAGACCTTCAGGAAAACAATGCAGATCTCAGTTCTGACAATAAAAATAAAATACTTATTGAAATTTCTATAGATTAGCTGAATGAACTGCTGCTGTGAGAGGGATTCTTCAAAATTCTCTCCTGGTAGCAGGACCGCCTCCCCACGTTACCCCATCAATTAACTCTTAACCTTATCGGCCCTAATGACGGATTTTGCGTCATAAATCACACCTTGTCTTCTCAGCTTTATAACTCAGGAATGCTTTACCGCAGCAGTTCACTACGCACATCCTCAGAAACTGCGGAGTCTCCCGCTTCTAAAAACAGCGGCCCCATCGCGGTCCGACGAAGCGTCTGTGAGTAATCCACTGTAGAAAAACAGTCAAATAGACGCTCCTTCACAGTTTCTGTTTTATTCTTCTAGTAAATCTCAGTTTCTGAGCTGATAAACTCTGCATTTCGCTTTATTTACACTACTATTGTTTATTATAGGGCTTCTGAAACGTTTACACGGTGTTTCAGATCTAATATCTGATTAGTTGAGTCAGTATTATCGACCGAAAACGCCTCTTCAGCGCCTCTCAGCGCCTCCGCCGATTAGCCGCTCTGAAGCTCCAGGCGCGTTTTTCACTGCCCTCCGCTAAAAAAACCGCTCTTTCTCTCCGCTCCTCGCGCTCTGATCACCGCGTGCGCGCGCATCTCGCTTTATTTACACTACTATTGTTTATTATAGGGCTTCTGAAATGTTTACACGGTGTTTCAGATCTAATATCTGATTAGATGAGTCAGTATCATCGACCGAAAACGCCTCTCAGCGCCTCCGCCGATTAGCCGCTCTGAAGCTGCGCGCGGCTCGGCAGTGTTCCTGCTGTGTTTGTGCGCGTGTTTCCTAGCAACGGCACGTTGGTCACGTGACGCGCATCTAGAACAGAAAAGCTGCGCGCGCACCTTCCGAGTCTTCTGGCGTCTGTCCAACCCCGCTGGACTGATCCAAATTTCAGGTTTATATTACGGTACAGACTCTTTATTGTGCGTTTTCTAGATAAACTAGTTGTTTATCTGATCATTTCTGGAAGGATTCTTTATTATAGGAGTCATTGTTATTATAAGCAGCTGATAATAAACACCCAGTGTACTAAAACAGTGTTGTATTAGCTGGAATATTAGCCATATTGGCCCAGAACAAAAAACCCAAAGGCTTGACCTGCTGTGTCAGTCTGTCACATGCAGTTTTAGCAATCTGCATGTCTCCTTTAGGTGAGAATATCAAGAAAAATAAGTCCGCCTGATGCTAAGCACATACTATTTCACAGTAATAAGCCATATAATGAACAATCATCAAAATTCTTATATTTTCAGCTCATAGACACTTTATCCTAAAACTTTCTCATTGACATCTAAGCAGTGCAGTGATGTTTTGAATAGATACAGTCAAAGATAAGTAAAAAAAAAAACAGGCGCTTGGTAAATTTTTGATCAAAACATGTCCAGTTTCATAAAAATATCAAACTTCTGTGGGCATTTACAACTCAGGTGATTACATATTTGAGAAGCCACATGTCTTCTGAAAATAAAACAACATATAACATGTGGCTGTCTCATTTAATTACTAGAGTTACAACAACTGAAAGAGGAACTGACAAAAACGGGGGGAAAAAAACACCTAATAGTGCTAGGACTCTAAGGGTTAAAGTGATTTTTATGTATGTATGTTTGTGTACTTTTGCTTTTTATCTGTTGCTGAAAAAATAAGAATTTGCCATTTTGTTTGTTGAATGAAAGCTGGTTTCTATTTTGCACAATAAACACTACTGTGTCCAAAAATGTTACTCCTGTTAATCTACCAGTGAGAGTTCTGTAGCTATGAAGTCTTCACATGGCTCTGTATAGTACATACACCTTAAGAATGAACCAGTTTATGATGAAACTAACTTTATTTTGTTTTATTTTATTTTTAGATCTTTGAGATTGCTGTAGTGCTGGTGATTTGTTCCATAATTCAGTTCATCATCTCCATCTGTGTCTCAGTCTTTGCCTGTAAAGCCACCTGCAGTGATGAACCTTCTGTAAGTTTCAGAAAAAATAAGGACAGTTTCAGAGATATAATAAAATACCCAGTGGGTATATTCCTTTATATTGTTGTTGAAGAGTTTGAGTTTTATTATTTACACTGCCCCCTTTGATCAAGAGATGACTGTCAGTGAACATTGTTTACACATGTTTTCTATCTGCTGTAATGACCTTGTAAAGTGACTCACCCTGTATAAACTATGCAGCTTATGAATCTCTCTGTATGTCTGTAGGTGAACATCACTGTGGCTCTAAACCAAGCAGGATGTCCTGATTACCCCAGTGAGCAGGTAATAATATGTAAAATTAGCCTTTGAGTCTAAGAGTTAATACTGTAAAATTTGAGGAAAATTACTTTAAAATGTGTTACAGTCCTGTACTGTATATTTACAGCCCTTTATTGGTAACTAAGCTGCTGGTTACTTAGTTTACAGTCTACAGCTTTTACAATATGTGCATATTCTTTGCTTTACAGTATCCACTGAATGCAGTCAATGTTGCCACCATGAACAGTCCACCAAAAGAAAGTCCTCCATCATACAGTGAGATGAAAGATAACTGAGACTAAAAACATCTCCAGATGAAACACCACAATAACATTATAAATATTCTGCTACTATAGAACTTTACAGTGTTTTTTCTTCCAAAGTATTAATGCGGGTGCTCTGATGCAAACATGTTTCAATAATGTTATGAAAATGTCTATGACTTTTTAAAATAAATGAATTTAAAGTATGCGTATTTGGACAAAATATGGTTAGATTGTATTTTGTGTCACTTGAACACATCGTATAGTATATATATATATATATATATATATATATATATATATATATAAAATTCATTTATTTAAAAAAATCTGACATTTTTATTATATATATATATATATATATATATATATATATATATATATATATTATATATATATATTTTATTATATTATATATATATATATATATATATAGGTGTGTGTGTGTGTGTTATATATATGTGTGTGTTTATTATTTGTAAACCCAGTAGTAATTGTCTTAAATCATTCAGTCCCTCATGAACATCAGTGTCATAAGTAGGTCAGATATGTTTGTGTTATAACCTGTATCTTGGATCATGCGAAATATACAATAATCTCTTTGGATGAAACTTAACCGTGGCACAAATATTTTCCAGTGAATTTCTGCTGTCCATCCACTGTAAACAACTGATAATATAGCAGTTATTTTGTTAAGCAAAAGTTAAAACTACTATGAAGACCAAACCCAAAATTTTTGTAACAAAGATCTTTATGAAGTAACATATTCTTATATATCACTTCAGTACATCTCCTTGTTTCTACACTCACATTCCATTTTATCAGCTCCACTTACCATATAGGAGCACTTTGTAGTTCTACAATTACAGATTGTAGTGCGTCTGTTTCTCTGCATACTTTGTTACACTGTTCTTCAATGGTCAGGACCCAAGGGACCACCACAGAGCAGGTAATATTTGGGTGGTGGATCATTCTCAGCACCGCAGTGACACTGATGTGGTGGTGGTGTTTTAGTGTGTTGCGCTCGTGTGACACAGCAGCGCTGCTGGAGTTTTTAGACACTGTGTCCATTCACTGTCCATTCAGACACTCCTACATTGTTGGTCCACCTTGTAGATGTAAAGTCAGAGACAGTGTGTGTTGGTCATCCTCTAGTCCTTCATCTTTCAAAAACACTATGATAGAGTTTAAAGTGTAGGTGTGCAGTGATGCTAAAGGTGTGTGTGATCGGTCTGTGGTGTGTAGATCTCCATTCCTCACTCTCTTAGTTTAATAATGACTCAATGATTTTGCATTGGTGATCAAGTAAATACTGAATAATAAGGCTTAAATGTGGACATACAAAGAATGTTTTATTGAAGTATGGGAGAGGACACATAGCAGGCGGGAGGGGAAAAATGGGTGATTGGAATGCTGGGAGTAAGAAAATGCAACAGACAAACCAGCTCTTCGATTGGCAGAGCAAAGATCAAGAACTTACATTGTACCACTTATCCACCATGTGAACACTGGGACAGCAGGGATAAAAGAGGAGTGGTGGGGCTATCAAGGGGCTCTGGCATGCCTGGAATATGATCGCTTCACTGTAAAGGGTTTACTGGAAGACCACCCTAGCTAAAAATCCTAAAAATGGAAAAGTACATTTAGTGCATTTCTGATAAATATAAGTAACTGACACAACTTCACAGTGTTACAGTGCAATGTACAGAAAGATACATTTGGGTCATTCTACAGAAATGTCCACTTTTCTGTCTCTCCATAAGAGTAACTGGTATTACCAATCCTCATTGGTGTTACATATAAGAAAGGTAACAGCAGTGGCAGTAACACCCGTGACATTTTTAATGAAAAATGCATTTTACAAAATTGCTGCTACAGAGCATCAAACCACATGTTGTCAGTCATGGAATATCTAAAACATGTAATTTAATCAATTTTTATTCTGTTTTTTCACAATTACCTAAGAATAAAATAGATCACACCAGTGACTTCATATGAAATCATGAGCTAAATGAGAAACTTTCTGATAACTAAAAACACACAGTGGACTTGCCATGTGCTTTTCTTCATAGATCTTCAGAAAATAGGTAAAAGGAAGTCAAGTGACATCATCTCCAACCACTTTCATTATATATTTTATAATATTTATTTGGCGTTTGTTTTCTTTGTCATTTAAGTTATATATTCCATATTCATGTATAGATTATTGTAGTTAAAATTGCAGAAAAACGTTTTTTTTTTACCTTTAAAATATGGCACTGACCATTTACACATGACTGTGAGGACAAGCAATTGATGGTGCTTGAAATTCTATAAAATTGATGTAAAAACCAATATTGCTAAATTGATGGCTCAAAAAGGTGTAATTGTTCAAATAACTTACTGTTTTATTTAAAAATAAAAATAAATTGTAACCCTAACATGTTTTTGAAGTGTAATATGTCTGTAAACGCTAGGGACGCAAAAATGGACGTTTCTGTAGAATGACCCATTTATTCATTGAAAGAATCTTTAAAGAAGCTCAATTGTTTCTTTCAGTGAGCAAATTTCTTTATTTTTTGTGATCAAGGCAGATTTCGTCCTTTTTGCAATGAACAGTCAGTAGTTCATTTCACTCTTGTCCCATTTTAATGAATTCACTGATGATCTGTAAATGTGTGCTAAATGTTTCCCACTAGGATATAAACATTTATAAAATTTAAAAATGGTGAAACTGGTTAGCTTTGGATTAGATGCTGGAAAAAGATTCATATATAATAAATGAATATTTCTATTTGCAAATTACTGTATGGAGATACACAGTCCTACTTGATCATATGTAATGTGATAATGTGTTAACATGTACATGACATTAAAATCTATATTCATTAACAGGTTGTAAACCTTTATAAACATTCATTTATAATGAGTTTTGACTTTAGTTCAGGTACTGCTAAAAAGCCAATAACTGATGAATGTATAGCTTCAACATACAGTTTGCAAGCATTTATAAACTTTGGACTAATTCTTTATTCTTTATTCTTTATGCAATTAAAAAGGTCTAGAACGAATGAATCCTTTTTTGATGCAAATCTTTCAACAGGACTTTTAACTTTACTCATGAGACACATGTATCTTGCTGGAACACACTGTAGGTGAACAGGAGCACAGAGCCGCTCTTGATTGGATATCTTTAGGTTTTGGACCCCTCTCGACCTAGCAGTGACACTGAGGTATGTAGAACCACAGCAGCACCGTTGGGAATTATCAGTGTGTGAAATGTCCCCTGGTATTCAGGGGGTCCCATGTTGGCTCGCTACTCTAATGCCACCACACACTGAGCGAGCTGCAACACGTTACCCAGTGTGCAAAAATTTACAACCATTGTTTTTTAAGGAACATCCAGCACTTCTTCATCCTGACAGCTCTGTTCATTTATTCAGCACTTCACAGTGCGCCATGTATTATTTTGCTGTCACTACATTAAATTAAAGCCATATCGAGATCACAGAAGGTCACAGTACATCACATATGGCTTTAAATTTACACAGAGAAAGGCAGTCAGTCTTTGAGATAAAGAAGTTATCTCAGCTAAGGTTACTATTTTAGCCTTTTTGAGCTTGTATCTGTCAGCCAGTTTGTGCAAATGTAAAAACTGTTGAGCGCTTTGTTTCATTAAATTTACACAAATAGATCAATAGTTTATTGGCTGGCATTCTATAGCAGTGCTCTGCTATGTGATGCAGAGTGTTGCACAAAATTCCACAGACGCCCGCAAATCTGAAGCAGTCATGTTAGTGGTACTTAGCGATTCCGTCGTTGCAGAATTCTCCATGATATGAGTTCTCATACAGGCAATTGGAGAGGTGAACCTGCTCTGCAAACTTCCCTTCAAATTCATTCCTTTTAAATGAAGCGCTGCTAATGGAGCCCTAAAGGACAGCACACATTGGAAGCTACATGAACTGTCATTTGTAAACATCTGTTCATTTTCCAATTTTTATGAACTAATGATTTGCTCATGGCTGTTAATCATTAGCTGATGGTATATTAAAGTTAGAAAGTGTTACTGGTGTTTTCCGATGTATTTCTATTACAGAAACCTTAGATGGCTATACAAACATTTACACAGCCACTTTTGAGCCTTTGAAAATGGAAGAATGATGATATACATTGAATAACAAGAGTTATACATTGGGCGCAGCGAGTAGTGCTGTCACCTTACAGCAAGAAGGGCCTGGGTTCGATTTCCTGGCCGGGCGACCAGAGTCCTTTCTATGTGGAGTTTGCATGTTTTCCCTGTGTCTGCCTGGGTTTCTCCGGTTTCCTCCCACAGTCCAAAGACATGCTGTCAGGCTAATTGGGCATGCTAAAGTTACCCTAGGTGTGAAGGTGAGTGTGAGTGTATATGTCTGTCTGTCTGCCCTGCAAAGGACTGGTGACCTGTCCAGGGTGTATCCTGCCTTTCACCTGGTGGCGCCTGGTGGCACCTGGGGATTCAGCACCCCCCCCATGACCCAGAGGGATAAGTGGTTTAGAGAATGTGTGTGTGAGTTATACACTGTGCAGTCAGTAATTAGGCTGAGTAATTAGAGAGAATTAGTAGCTCACACCTTAGAGGTTTTATCATAGTTAGAATTAAGGCTGATGCTCTGTCCAGTAAGTGCAAGCTCAAAAAACTAAAGCCAAACTTTCTGTATAAGGACAGTGGAATTTACATTTAAGCCTTATAAGCTTTCCAAATTAATGGGCTCTCTGGCTGAGAACTTCTGCTTGGTAGAGTGTCTGTCCACAAGGAATTCACAAACGCAGGTTTAGAAAAATACAAAAATATAATCTGTATTAAATGTACTTGAGGTCATACAACCACTGTCCGTTTGGAGGACCAATAATAACAATAAATAACAACACTAAAAAGGTTCACAGCGCTACTGGGGTTTATCAAGCATTTGGGAATTTAAGCACTAAACACTCATTTACACATGCACTGTACCAGAGGGAAGCAACATATCTTCTTGTACTTAGTCACACCTGACAAGTTAAAATCTATATCACCATCAGTTTTTACGTAAAAATAAAATAATCCTCCTTTGCAGTAAAATAAAGTTCTGCTGATCGTTCAAACATCATCTTCCAAGGTAAAAAAAAACAAAAAAAACACATAGATTTCACTTACTTACACTTTCCGTGCTTATGGTCTACTCAGGCCACAGACAGGCAAAATAAGAACTGTCAATTTTTTCACAAATCAGCCTGGTCAGTTTGAATCTGG